CTTGTGCCTTCAAAGCTCAAGCTACTTAGGCTTTGCACTCCGCAAAACAACGGAACAAAAACACAACAATAAGGTGCTTCTGGCAGCTTTTAGCTACCCGGCGATTAGCCACTGAAGTTCACCCTTTCTACCAACCACGAACAACTTAACAAACTCGCTACTTACATCTGTGGATGGGGACTTCTTGCGGTCCTGCTTCTTGACTAGGCCATCCATCTGCCCTTTACATCCAAACGCATTGCCATCTTGGGGCACTTTCTTGATCTAGATGCGAATGGATTTACAAGCTGTGCTAACTTCTTTGAAGCTACAAAACTTCGCAAAACTTAAAAGTGCGCAAAGGAAAAGCGTCTTTTGGAAAACTTGGTCAAAGCTCTCACTTGGTTCACTACGCTCTTCACGTACACAAGTTAGCTGTCGGGATTGCACTGCTTACACGGCTTGAGGTAGGTTTCTGTCTGAGCAAAAGACCTCTTCAATCGACGAACCTTCCACGGCTTGTCATTCCAAAATTTCTGTGTCATTCCACAACCAAACCGATGGTAACGCTCTCCACAACCCAATCTGAAGACGTACTCCTCATCATCATTACCCCCGGCTAGACCATCATCACCCAAACGACCATCTGAAACTAGTGGACCCTGAGGCCCACTGGAACTTCCTGCTGCTGGTCCGGTAGAGCTCGCAGCCGTTGGGTCACTTCCCTCAACAACATGCTCGATACTGCTTCCCACCACAGGAAGCTGATCATGGCTTTGACTCTCATCTATGTTGGGGAGTTGGTACTCATACACATCCCGGCCATCATCACGATGTTCACTTGGTTCAGGTTCTGGTTCCATGCCCGTTGCTAGCGTTACCCCCCACGCCAAGGATCCAACCACGATACCAAACTTCACGAAGCGAGATTTCATCACCATCACCGCCACCATCAGCACCACCATGCAAATGAAGATGCCCATCATGACCCACACGAATGGAACCATCACGTTCTCCGCATCGATACGGTCTCCGAGGCAAAGCCCGTTCGAAGGTTGGACCATCAACATGCTGATCACTGCTCTCAAGGCGTTGGTGCTGGGAAAACTTTTCTTGAAACCATTCACAACAATCATTTCATGGATTTGATCTTGCCCTGCAAGGAGTCCGGAATCCAACGAAACAAACCCCAGAAGGCCCAACAGCAATTGTTGTCGCTTTCTACCATGATTTTTCGCGCCGAGATCCGGCGGACAATGCTTTGTCCCAATCGGCTTTCCAATGACCAACCCTTTTGAAGCCACCGACTGAAGCCAAAGATACGCAAGGTCTACATGACGGAGCCGACCGGAACCTTGTTTCCCTATGATGACCCTTGCTGCACTGTTGTCTGTCCTGTGCACCAACTTGATGGGGCTGCCCGTGATCTCTTCCAGCAGCTCCTTCACAAATAAGCCATCGCAGCACCCTTGGAGAGATGCCATGTACTCAGCTTCACATGAAGAGAGGGACAAAGACTGCTGCAATTTGGTGCTCACATAAAAGCAGTTGCCATTCAGGTACAGGCTATAAGATGACCCGCTCTTCCTCGAGAAATAGGAAGAGGCCCAATCAGCGTCTGTAATGCACTCTAGAAGATGGCCTTTACCAAAGCTCGCCTCTCTTCCCACGTTCAGCTCAACATCGACCTCTCCAAAATTGCGAAGTCGCTCTTCAAAGCTTGTGCCTGGGATGGTCTTTGACAACTTCAACACGAAATTCTCTCTGCCCTTCAGGTACTTGGCCATATGTCTCATCAACTGCATGTCATATGCCGTGGGTGCTGAGCAACGGGATCCCAACATTCGAACTCCGAAGTGCAACTCTGGGTAGTCAGAGCTCATGTACAGGAGTAGCCCTAGAGCACTACGATACGTATCATACTCTGCTCCACCGAGTTCTGGATCATCACTCGGACGCATCAAAGAGGAAGGAAGTGGAGTAGGTTTTGGGGACGCTTTCTGAAGGCCAAGAAGTGAGCACAACTTCTCTACATACTTCTGTTCTGGAATCACTACAATCCCTGTGCCATCACCTTGAAACAACCGCTTGAGAAAACGGCACTGACCTCCATCAATGGTGACCGGTCCTTCGATCTGGATCTTAAGACCAGACTTCTTCATGTCATTCAGCAAGTCCTCGCCTCTCTTCTCACCTCCAACAATTTGAAGGTCATCTACATGACTGTTGTGTGCGACCTTGCCCGTCTCATAGAAAACTGCGGGTGCCCCTGCAAAAGCCTTCAAGCCACTATTGCATGTCCATGATGCCCTTGAGGTGCATGTACCAACCCTTTGCTCCACATCGCTGCCCTGGCAAGTTAAACAGCAACTCCATGGCCTCACCATCGTTCGTCACAATGAAGGTTGGCTGCTCCTGGGGAACCATCAGATACGCATCCGACACGTCCACACTGTAAAGCACAAGGTTCTCTCCACTGACACAAAGTCCTGCAAACACGCTTTGGAGAACAGCCATAGAGGCCGGGGCATACAGGTTCTGGAGCTCGGGTTCCAAAAACCTAAACTCTTTTGCAACTAGTCTCGATCTACGGATCCAGCAGCCGCCTCTGAATCTCCAATCTCTCACGTACTTACTCTGAAGCTTCTTCATGTCAGGTCTGGTACTGCTGGAATCCATGCGCCTTAGCACTCCCATTTGAAGTAGCCGTTGATCTTCGACGCGATCCATAGCCACATCCAGCCTTGCCAACTCTTCCTGGGACAATTCCGGGGGTCCATCCTCATAGGTCCGATGAGCCCATGGGACGTTTGGATGGGTTGACTTAGTGTTCTGAGGGTTCCATTTCGACACCGCAATCTCCACACTCAAGCTCACTCAAATCAAGCTCAACTGTTGGGATGATTTCCTGCTCATGACCAGTCACATGCTCTACCTGCACAATTCTGGCAAACATGTCTTGGACTTCATCCGCAGGAGAAATCAACTGATTGACACCCTGCGACTGCACCATCTCTGCATCTGGAACCATCTCTGCTGAACTAGCTCCTGACATTGGAGAGGGACTGTACCCTGCCACAGACTCTCCCGGCAAGGACATTGAACTTGATGGGTCGCTCCCAGCCTCATCCGGACCAGGATCCTTCTTCTCCACCTCGTCTTTCTTTGGTTCCTCAGGTTCGACCAGAATTGGGGCTCGGAATTTGGGGGCCCTCTTCCTCTTCACGGGGATCACATCCAAGGTAGCGTTCCAGGGAACTCCACGGGTGGACGCAATCAACTCGGTTTCAAAGCTCAATGAGCCTCTACGCATGGTTCTGGCATAGTGTACCCCAGTGTTGGTGCCAATGATGTTCAAGTTTCCCAGCGTGGATTTTCCCAGGAAGATCCCTTTTGTCCAACCATTTCCTTTTGCAGGGGTCACAGGCAACAACTGAGCAAACACAGCACCCCCAAAGAGGCAAAGCTTCCCAGTGTAGGATCTTCCATGAACCAACTCAAACGCAGTCTGACCACTTTGTTGCACATGAAATCGTGTGTACAGGAAAGCGCTGTGTCGAAAGGCCCATTGAAAGACGGGATGTCCACTACGTACGGAAAACCCCGTGTGTTCCTTTATGGTCGCCAGCAATGTGTTGCCCAAATCACGGACAATGCCAATAAATCTCTCTGCTTTCAACCCATGGTGCAATTTTGAATCAGGAGGAGCTAACTCAACCTTGGTGGCAACTCCAAGTCTGGTACGGGCTGCACTGACTGCCTGCAAGAAAGATTTGATAGAGGGTTCGCTATCCCCACGGATTGTCAAATGATTGTGTCCTAAAGCTGCAGCCAACTTGACAACTTCATCAACAGCGGACTTGAGGTGCTCAGTAGCCTTGCCCTCTACAGGAATGCAAGAGGTGAAATTGGTCTGCTCATCTACAACAACCATGTGGCAAGCCAGTGGATCTTCAGCTTCACCAGGAATCTCGGTCTTGGTAAACATGAAATCCAAATGGATGACGCCACCTTCCTTAGGCGCACTGGAAACATGGTTGTCCTCTTTACTCCGCATAGCCGTGCACGCACTACACCAGGGCATTCTAGGACAATGGGTCACTTCGTGCGTTGCAATGGTCTCTGCATCTGGCTGCTCATGAGTCTTCTCAACATGGGGCTCTCTCCGATAGGCTTCAAGCACTGCTTCTGAAGCTTGCCCTGATGCTTTGATTTGGTTGTCAGCAATCTCTGATTGAAGTCGACCCCGCAACACGGCTTTGCTTCCATGAGGGCTCACTCGGAGGAACCTGCAAGCATTACGAAGCAGTCTCAGAGTGGATTCTGCTGTGAGCTCAACCCCATTTATGACCAGAGTGGCTTGTCCCTGGACAGCAACCGGATGCTGCTCCTCCACTGGGGGTGGTCCAACTTCCGCAGGCCCTCCAGGACCAGTCTCATCCGCTCTTTCAGGCTCCACCTCCATGGGAGCGGCACGCTCATTCACTTGAAATGGATTGGGCACAACCACTTTGCCAATGGTCTCGGGATCTACTGGCTCCAAACTGAGGAATGTCACAATCTTGGTTTCGGCTCAAAAGTGGTGATGAACTTCCGATCTGCCCAATACTCTCCAGATTCAAAGACTTCATATCTGCGACCACCCCGTGACAGCAAAGTAGTGCGAAATGGCCAGTACTGCAAAGGAAAGTTCTGAGAGGGATCGGCCGTGCAATCACTGTCAAAGCTCACATGCATTGGAACCTGATCTGGGCTCAGACTCCAACCTTGTTCACCAGTTGCAGCTTCCAGTTGCTCAGAAAGCTCAACGACAATGCGCACACAAAGCTCTCTCTCTCTGGACCGCTCTTCAAGACGGAAGATACGCATGTTAGCTGCAAGGGAATTTCTACTTGGTCGCCCTTCTGCAGAACCCATTCACCGTCAACTTGCCGTGGCAGCCAACTGTCACGCATAAGCTTACCCATGCACATGAGAGGTTGCTTCACCTGTGCTACCACGACCGTATCTTTGAAGAAAAGTCGCTGGCCATTGGTGCCCACAACTTCAAACACCACATCCTGCCGCTGTCCCGCCATCGGGATCCTATTACCTTGGGCATCGCACAGGCTTTGATTGTTCACTGAAGCATGGCCAACATTACCGTGGGTCATGGGAACTACAGTCACATCAGCGCCGGAGTCCAGGATGACTTGCTCATACTCACGCTCGCCACTCTCGTTCACAGCACGAACATGCCCAGGACACTCAAGTTCTCCATCAGAGTCACTACTGGCCATGTCGAATAGCAATGTGCTAGTAGATGCTAGCTCTGCGGCTGAAATTTCCTCACATGTCACCACTCGAACCTCAAAGATCTTCCCAGAGTCTCGGTCATCATCATCGTCCTGCGAAGCGAGGTCATAGAAAGTACACATAGGGGTGTCAGGAGGCGTGTAGATCTGGAGCTCTTGGGGTTCTTCATGCTCATGCCAAACTTCGAGACGTCGAATGTTGGTGGAATGCGTAGCGGGCAAAGATGGGGTACGGGTACTACTTGAGGAAGATGCAGCTGAGGAAGGGGTCTGAGTCGTAACCGAAGAGGCATCATCTGCAACTTGATTCACTCTGCTTCTGCAATCAGCGGCCACATGTCCCATGCGACCACAAGTAAAGCATGGACCAACTTGCCTCTTGCCCTTCTCCTTACCTTTGCCCTTCCCTTTGCCGCCATGACCCTTCCCTTTTCTTTTGTCATTCCAACCGCCTTGGCCACCCCAGTTGCCCCATCCCTTGCCATTCCCTTGTTGATTCCACCCAGACTTCCCGTAGCCATCTTTCTGCTTCCCCTTTCCACCTTTATCTTTTCCACCCTTTCCTTTTCCTTTGCCAGCCCCTTTCTCCTTGCCCCCTTTCCCTTTACCCTTCTGCTCAACACGATCCACGTCCATAGGCACGCCACCGTCAACATCCAAAAACTTGCCAGAATCCTTGTCAATCCCTACCGAGCGCAACAAGTGCTCCGACGACCACATGGCTGTAGTACGCTCATACTGCAGCAAACGGTTGCGAAGACGTTCGTAGTTTACGCTATCATCAAGGTTCAGCTGCAGATACTTCTTCACGTCATTGGGCAAGCCGGCCATGAGGGTGCTTATCTTGAGGTTGTCGTCATAGGGATGAGGGGACACCTTGTCATACTCGCCCACCAGGCGCTCAAAGGCCAAAGTATAGTCCAGGAGTGAACCTCCCTCTTTGAAAGGAGGAAACTTTACAAGAGCTTGACCTAGATTTCACAGGCTGGCATTCATCTGCCAAGGTTCGCCAAACCCTGAACCCATCTCCATTCTTGATCGAACGCAGGATGCGAAGGGGACGCCCCTTGAGGTACGTCGCAAGAATTGCACACAGACGGATGCTTCGAGTCTTGGTTGAAGCTTCATAGTCTTCAAAGGCCATGAAGCTATCCGCACTCTCTGCCTTCTCAAAATCAAGTCTAAAACCCTCGTCTTGGATGTAAACCCACTGTTTGAACGCAAAACTCCACTCCGACCAAAGTGCCAGCTCTTTGTCAGCATTCTTTGGGGCAAAAACTTCAGGGGCCTTCACGTACTTAGACTCAGTCCAGCTAGAAGGTCTAGCCTGCATCTGAGCAGACTGCGCAAGCTGAGCCACTGCTGTCGCAAGTTGCCCTAACACGATGGATGGATCCAAAGCTGGTTGAGTTCCATCACCACCATCTCCTGGAGATCCGGGAGCAGACATTGCTCAAGGCTCTTCAGACAAACAGCCCGCAAGCTGCTCAGCTACGTCCAAGCGATCTTGTAAGAGACACCGTACGCAGGGCAGCACAGCACTCGAGTGCTTATTCCTCCCTCAAGAGGTCACTCTCTACTTGGGCTCACTACAGGCCTACTTCTACGAGGCTTGGGTCCTGGCCTCTGAGCCACCGCGCCAGAGACCAGAGGAATCTGGATAGTAGGTGACGCAAAACACTACACAGTCCTTTTCACTGAAGAGCCTTCGTGTCACGGCAACTTCTCAGCTTGCACAACTGGTCTGCACCACGTGTGGAAAACAGGGTGTCTGGGTGCTAGCAAAGTCTAAAAGTAGCGCCGCCGGCGCCTGAGTCAACGATGCACTCGACAACGCCGGGGAACTCGCCGAGGTCGCGAAACTCGTCCATCTCCCAGAGTCGTGAGTGCCACGGGTTCCGAGGCGCTGAGCCCGTACCGGGACGCTTTTGCAGTGATGCCAGCCTCACCGGCAAACAACTCCATGATGTCAACGGCAGGTGGTGGTCTGCTGGAGGTTGACAGAAGACTGTCATAGATTGCCCGCTCGCAGCCCAGCAAGCCTGCCGAGCGAGCCCAATTTCCACGCGTGCCGGAGTTGTCGAATTCCTCGTTGGTGTCACCGGTGACGCCTTGGCCGTTGTGCCCTGGGCTTGGAAGATCGCCGGGTCGATGGTTCCGCTGCGCGTGAAGGCACTGCTTGGGCCGGCACAGTCTTGGATGAGGACGGCAAGGGCGACGAGTTGAGCAGCGATGCCCCGAACTTGTCCAGGTGTTCGACCCGTAGACCTTCGTGGGCGTTCCACTTCCACCTCTTCAGGCACTCCTTGCAGCGAACTTGCCGTACGCGTTGCCGTACCGGACATATATTCGGGGTGCTTAATTGCAGGTTGCTGGCGGGCGCGCGTAGGTCGTGTCGAGCTCCGGCGGCACGTCGAGGTAGATCTCGGGAGTCAGGATGCCGAGGTTCACTGGATGATCACGTTGCGCTTGAGAAGCTGAAGGCTGCGCACCAGGCGTCGCCATCCGCAACGCCATGCCGGGGGAGTCGCCTGCATGAGGTGCTGGGGTCGGAGAGGACGATGTGTGAATCACGGCTTGGGCCAGAAACACGAGCTCGGGAGGAGGATTGTCCCAATCAACTGCATCTTGAAGCTGCTTCCACCTACTGCTGTCAGAGGGAACGTGCTTGCTAAACTCGACCACTGATATAGTCAGATGTCCGTTCTCGCGAAGCACAGGCACTGTCACTCCTAGCTTGGTGAACGTGGCAGAGGACCTAGGCATGTCAAGCACCATGCCGAGCTCATCAAGCAGCTGATTGGACGCGAGCAGGGGAATGTTTGCCTCTAGGACGCTTGCTCCAATCACGAGATCGGCTTCGCCTACGCCAGCCGGCATGTACAAGCGGTGCTTGGCTCTTCCGGGGCCACCACTGCCGAACTGAAAAGCGTCTGTGCAAGGGGCTCTGTACACAAGCAGGTCCTGAGCACGAACAAGAGAAGCATGTGAAGACGCCCAAGCCGTGCCGCAACATGTCCGTTGGCAAGCCGTATCCAGGACCATGAGGTCGGGGGACCCCACGTCGCCACCAGGAGCGTGCCGCGCATCAAAGACAACGTTCACACGGAGAACATGGTGCCGTAGGTCTGGTCATCGGTGATCTCGAGGGCGCCGTGCTCGGAGTGACGTACTACGTAAGTCTGATGCGCAGCTTTCTTGCCCGGGCCTTTGCCGTTGCCGTCCTGGAACCCTTGCCGGAGACCCGAGACTCGGGATCTCCTTTCCAGTGACCACGTTCGCCGCAAGCGATGCAATTCGTCTCCCGCTTCAACGTGGCGGGATCCTTCTTGGCCGCTCCGCTGAATTTCCTTCCCATTTTCATGGTGGCCAATTTCTTCGCAGCGCTGGTCCTCATGGTCGTCGTTCTGGTCATCGCCTTTGTCGTCCTGGTCTGGAGCGTCGTTGCCGTCGCCGGCCTCAGTCACGTAGACCTTCTTGACGAAGCCGCCGGGTTTGCCATGTGCCCTGCCGCCCTTGCCAGCTGAGGTTGGGGCAGAGCTGGGATATGCGTGTTTGCCGTTCCCTTTCTAACGGTTGACTGGATTGCCGTCTCTTCCGATCACGGGGGGGTGATCCCTTGAAGTCCGGGAACTGCATTGCCATACTCTCGGCCACGTCCTCGAAGGCAAGGGAGTAGCGACACCCCACCAGAATCAGACGTTGATCCTGCCATGGCAAGCGGGCCGGCTCCAGCAGTCGGTTGCCACGAGCCTCTCCATCATACATCAGGGCTACCTCGACGCTGATTGCCTTGAGGTTCCGCTCGATGCGGCGGTATCGGTTGCTGAATGCTTTGAGCCCTTCACCTGGTTGCCGTTGGATGCCCTCGAAGTCGGATAAAAACTTGCGTTTCTGAAAGATCTGCTTCTGCTCCATTGGTTGGCGCAAAGTCTCCAGAATGAAGTCTATCCCCTTATCCGTGTTAATGGATTCAATCGGGGCATGTTCTTTCCAATGCTGACGAGACCCCAGAGGAGGAAGTCACCCTTGAGGCCTTTGACGAGTAAATAAGGCCTTCTAGCTCTGGGTCCCAGGAATTGCGGTCATGCTCGCCTTGGAGGGGCGTGCACGGGTCTTGTAGTGTAGGGACGTACCGTCTAGAGCATAGCCTTTTACTTGTACAGGCCGCGTGTACAGCTTGGATCCTTCTTTCCTTCGGTAGGACTGTGGGACGATCCGTCCGAGCTTGGGCGCGCACCGGCCCTAATTAGCTTTGAAGTCCCATGTCAACCTGGGTGAGGCGAACGCCGACCCCCGTTTTGCCAGCTCCATAGGCAGCATACCGAGGCAGCCCGTGACGCAAAAAGAAGGGATGCGTGCAGGTTTTAGGCGGGGTGACTATGTCATAATTTGACTGAGGGTTCCCCTCCCTTTTTTTAAACCCAAAGTCGCGGAACCTCCCTTGAGGTGCCTTCGAACAGAGTCGCCGCCGCCTGCAGCAAAAAGTGAATATCCTGTGCGTTACATGGCATACCTGCATGTACAGTTTTGGCAAGTAGCGACAAGCAGGCAGAACTGCCAAGGTGGGGAGGGTGCAGCAGCTTTTGGCAAAGCCACCAAGCAGCAGCAAGAGTTTTTGCCGGTGGAGCGAGCTGAACATCGAGAAAGTGTTCCGGGGCGTCACCCCAGTGAGATCAATCTAGTAGTCCATGGTCTTCCTGACGTGTTCACTTGCATGAACAAGCCCCATCGCTTCTGCCTGGAAATTTTGCAGGTTGTTCTCGTCTCACAGCGGCGTGCAACACTGCGGGCATGCCGACATATGCCATTGATACCTGCCTTTTTCCTTCTCATGATGTTCTTGACCCTGCTATCGACCGCAAGATCTTTAAAAGGATTACTAGTGTTGGCCGGCATGCCATGCACTACTTTTTCTTGTGCCCGTAAACGGGCGAGGCCCTGGACCTTTGCGGAGTGTTCAGCACAAGTATGGCCTTGGAAAACCCCTATTCCAGTTTACTATGGAGTATGCCACATCACTTTTCACAGCTGGCATGTACGTCCTTCGTCAACCTGGACTTCTGAGCATATGGCGAGCCTTGGAAAAGCCAACTACTTTGCTGCACAAGTTTATTAATCTGTGTGCTCTACAGCAGCAATGCAACACTCGCAACAGGATTTGCTCCTTCACGGGAACCTCGCATATTCCCTTGGTAGCCTGCCGTGAGGATGGCGTTTTCTGGACTCTCATTGCTCAGCCATATTCTCAGAAGTTGTGCCGATGCTCAGAACTGGCCAGAGCACAAGTTTGTAAGGGGAGGGACAAAGCGTTGCATCTGAATGGTGCTCATCTCATGCTTGAGCTGAAGGCTCAACCTTTCCCTGATGCCTTCACATGGTTTTCTAGGATGTGTGCATCTGGCAGGAAAACATTGAGCGAGCATGGGATAGTCAAATACGTGCGTGCGCCGTCAGCAAGCCAGAGGAGGGAGGAGGAAATGTACGAAAAACACATGTTCTTGCTACCTGGGATGTTTCTATGGATTTTGAAGGTCCTGTTCTCTGTAGTTTAACTGCAAACGGTTCAAAATGGGGTCCCAATTGTGCTGATGATGTTCCTGCACGAGAGGCATGCGGATTTCCCCTAGTTGGTTTGTTGATGCGATAGATGTTTCCTTCCCTGCTCGCTCGCAGCGATGCGCAGAGAACAGTGATGACATGTGATGACATGTGATGCACGTTCATTTGTCCGTTTGTCCGTGGCCGGGGGGTGGGGGCATGATTCATTTTCTCCGCTGCTCTGGCCCTCTTCTGTGAGCCGCTTGATCCGCTGCGGCTCTTCTTTCCAAGTGGGCACTCCGTTGCCTCTCGAAGTTGAAAGGCCAAGGAGTCTGCACTTCCTTTCCGCATCCTTTCCCTTCCGCTTGCCGAACCAAATGGACCTGTTCGTTCTCGCTCAGGAGAATCAATGTTGTTTGCTTGCCTGGCTTTCGGCATCCAAAAACATGCGCTGGGGTGACACTTTGGTCCAGCTTCCAGAAAATGCACTCATGACATTTGCTTTGATAGATTCTGCACAAGATCCTCTCAGCCGATTACACGAGTATTATTCGGTCTAACACTCTAACAATCCTGACGTGAAAATGGCTGTCGGCTTGCGCATCCGCCGCAGCGTCAGCGGCTAGCATTAAATCAGGTCAGCCTTCAGTGATTCGGACGACGCCTCCCAGTCCCTATAGGCCCCAGACGGGAAGTGAAACTTTCCCTGCCTGGACCTCTGGAAGTAGGCTCTTCTGATCTCTTGCTGCGACGCGGTGGTGGCCACACCAAGCTGCAAGGCACCAGGAGGGAAAGGGAGAGATGTGCATGACATCAATGAGAATCTTGTGCAAGTGCCTGGTCGTAGTAGTATGTGTCTGCCTCAAAAGGAATCCCCGAAAGCTTTGCGTTACATGCCCTTAAGCGGCTGGGCACCAAACCACTCGGGAGGAGGGTTCGTTGCCTTCGTTTGTCTCGGGCTCCTCTCCTAGGCTTCAGACTTTCGAATTTCAGCGACTGATTCCTTCAAAGACGGTTCCTGGGTGCCCTGCCATTGAGTACCTCGGCGGCCTCCTCCAGGAGCGAGTAAGCCTCAATCTGACACGACGAGTCGACGCGAGACTTTTGCAAAAGGGCCAAAACGGTGCACACGCAGAGCACACGCAGAGCACAGCGCAGAGCACAGCGCACGGTCCCTCGGTCTCTCCACAAAGCGTGTGGTGTTTTATGTGGTTTTCTGCTCTGCTTTGCTCTGCTTGGCTCTGCTCTCCGAGCTCCGCTGTGCTTTCTGAGCCCGGTCCCGTGGTCCCGTGCCTTGGGCTCGGCCCAGGTGCCGGTCTGCGCATCCCAGTGCCAACCGCGACTCGCCTCGAGTGACGTCAAAGTAAAGCACTCCTCTTCTCACTGTGCTCACTGTGCTCACCTCACTCAAAGTTCTGAAGTCTTGGCTCGTGTTAAGGACAGGTCCATGCAGATGGCACGGGGGGTGGCTGCCACTCCGCGCCTCTTCTAAACTCACAGCTGTGCTCCACTTGCCATGGCCATCCTGGCCATGCCGGGGGCGCCGCAGTGTTTGAAAAACCCCTGTGCAAAGACCTGTGATTGCGAAGAAGCCGCCAGCCAAGACACCTTGCACCAGAAGCTTTGCGCAAACTGGTCTTTTCCTGCAGACCTCAAGACTCTGCAACAGCTGGCAAAAGCTGGTGTGGCTGCACTTTCTGCATGGACCAGCATGAGCCACAGCATGAGCTTCAACATGACCAGCGCTCTCAGGCTTGACGTTGCAGTTGCCACAAGGGCCGCTATGAATCGAAATGGCTTGTGGTCCAGCGTAAACGATATCAAGCTAAGCAGCCCCCCAAGCAAATGTTTTCATCTGCAAAGTAAGATTTCAAGTGCGGCTTCAGACGCTCAGGAGAGCACCTACGCCTACGCCACGAAAACAGCCAAGAATGCCATCTTCTCGAGCGCCCTGAAAGCTTTCGCTTCCGGTTTCTGTGCCGCTCAGAGCCATCTGGGCCTCGATTGGCTGGGCGATGAGCCCGGCGAGCCCCACAAGGAGGCCGCCCAGAACACACTTCACTCCACTCCAGAAGCCTGCCTCAGACAGGTAAAGCTCCGCTGAAAAGCTTTTCTCGTTGAAGACTTCCAGAGGCCCAGGCAAGAACGTCACGGGGCGCTTGGACGGGGAAGAGGACTGGCAGTGCCTCTTCGGCCTTTCAAAGAGAGGAAAAGACAAGAGAAAAGAATTGTTAGATCTTTGAAAAGCGGCTCTCCCTTCTCTGATTTCGAGGAGGCGGCATCACGGAGGACTTCTTCTGCTCGGGCCTTGGCTTCTGAAAACGCATCTCACGCTCACGAAAGGGCAGCCCAAGGGGCCTGTTCGGCGTTGGCGGCGTTCTGGATTGGTAGGGCTGCGGCAGCCGCCATGGCGGTGGCTGCGACCCCAGAAGCACGGGGAGTGGAAGGAAGCTTCAGGTGCAAACATATGCGACGTGTTTTCAGCGCGTTTGGAGCTTTGGTTGCTTTTGGCACATCGTGGTTTTGTTGATTTGTTTTGGACTTCAAATCCTGTCTGAAAGCCCATCGGCGATGCAGGGACATTACTAATGACACGAATTTTGTCAACTATCGGCACAGCTCAGCTTGGAATTTCTGCACCACACCAGCACATTCCCCAAAAACCCCTTGCACCACTTCTATGCAAGGAGGAGCCGATAGACAACACAGGTCAATAGGCTACTGTTGAGAGTGGGAGCAAAGTTTGCTAGCTTCACTCATTTCTATTTAAGTCCATTTGGTCTTCACAGTGCAATTCTGCTTTAGATTTTCGTAGTGATCCCTGCTTGGAAGTCGCAGCGTGTGTGCCGACAGCGGGGCCACAAAAGCAAATATTTTCGTTCTCATCCAACAATATGCTGCATCGCGCATGAAGGCATACATATGACAAGCAAGCCCTTATAGTTGTTGAAATTACATCCTCAGTTACAGTTTGTTGCGGTTTGAAGGAACACAATCACAATCAGACAGCAATTCCGTGGATGCTTTAAAGGGCTGGTGTTTTGATTCGCAACTTCATGTCTTTCTCTCTTGCCACTGCTCTTGTTCCATCATCTAGGAAGAAGGCTCTAACCGACTCTTACCATCTACTGGCATTCCTGCATGAGTTGTGTCACTGTACCATCCTGTGCCAAGCCTGGGCAGTGATGACCGGGCGTCAAAGGGATACTTCATGAAGCTCACTTGTCTACTCTGCTCTTCTGCCATGGTTTCGAGGGAAATGTACAAAGGACTCGAAAGAATCCTGACGCCAGCGACGCCAGCTTCATGGGACCATGCCATCCCTGCACAACGCTCGCCCTGCGGCCGAGTCTTTTGTCCTTGGAGAACCTTTTTTCCATCAACGCTTCACTGTCTTGAAGGGGCTCTCTAGCAACCACCTTCGTGAAAATTGAGCATTGCTTGCCGTTATCCTCGGAATCTCGATGTCTGCGAGGCCTTGCAACAAACACCTGTTGAGCAATGCCTCAAAAGACCTCTCGTGTCGTTGCATGAGGGAACAGGGCACTGCACGCCTTGTGGCTATCATGGTTTGTGCGTGACACCAAACATGGTTCTTGATTGCTACAGCATGCTACGGCGGTTTCGAGCGTATGCCCCGACTTGAGACGCACTTGGCCTCAGGCTCAAGAAGTCTTACGCACGTCAGAAACTTTAAAAGTCTGACTACTCCCCTCTCGGGTTGCTTTAATGAAAGAATACAAGTTTCACGCACCACTCCTAACCTGCTTTACTTTTAGATTCCTCTGCTTCTCGCGCTTTCAGGACCAGCCCTTGTTTGCCTGATCGATGACGTAGTTTGCCACGTCCTCACAGACTGCTGAGAAATGCTGCTAAGATGAGCCTCCTCTCGGAAGTTCCTCGATGTCTTCTGGGCCCAATCGCTCACCGAAGGCTGGCATGGCGTTCTTGCCGTTGGTTACCTGCACTGCGCTGCGCTTTGTTTTATCAAGTTTTAGGAAGAAACGGTCTGGTCTTGTCTCGGCCTGATATTTTATTCGCTCCACGTCGAACATCCCATACCTTGCCGAGATGTGCCGAGCTGAGAGGCTAAAGCAGCTAAACCCTCAACCCGCTGGGAACCCGCTGGGAACCCGCTGGGAACCCGCTGGGCGCTCTACGTTTCCAAGGCTTCTTTCTTCAGCTTCTTATCAGGCTGCACGGCATTGTTTCCGCCCGCATGACATGCCGCACCTCTCAGCATCTCTCGCATGCCAGATTCCTTTCGAGGCTTAGCAAGCCGAGGGGCAGTTTGCCAAAAAAATGCCCTGGCCGTTCCTTTGTGAAAAGCTCAGAGATCGAAATTCAGCAGGTCCTAAAGCACGAGTCTTAGGCGACTTGAGGACTTTTGTGTGTTTCTAAGACCCCAGCTCCAGGTCGGCTGCGAGCGCGGGTGAAGCCGAGAAGGCGAGGAGCAGACCCAGGATCAAGCCGCCAGCGAGGCCTTCTTTTCTTAGAAGCTCACAGCCACACCTTTTATGCTTCGCCTCAATATCCTCACAACCCAGCCGGGCCTGAGCATCTCTCGCTGTCGCCTCGCAGGTCAACACCCGAAGCCCTCACGCCATCCTCCGTCCCTCTGCCTGTCGCTTGTGGCGGCCGCGATGCCGTCTGAGACTGGGCCCGCAACGCCGTTGCAGCCCCCTCTATGGTGGCCTTCGACTCCAAAAACAAGCCCCCCATTTGAGCGACTGAAGCAGGAAGAGCACGGAAGAAGCAAAGCTGCGGGCACGAGGGGGCAAAGAGAAGGCATCGCTGCAAAGAGCTGCCTGCACTGCACACAGTGCATCGCAGTGCATCGCAGTGCATCGCAGTGCACACGGATCGAAGTTGTGTTGAAGCACGCCGGGGTCCCCGACCACCGCTAGCAGCACTAACGGGAGGGCTTGGGACCTTAGACATGAGAGAAATGACGTACTCCGTTAAAAAGCTCTGAAAACCCTGGGCCCGGTACGCCATCCCCTCCGCGGTTGCTCCAGTGGCCCCAGAGCTGGGTGAGCCGCTCCAAGAGAAAAGATTTTTCAAGCTCTAGATCCTGACGACTAACTACACTACGTTAGCCCAATGCAAGATGTGAGTGCAGAGCAGGCTGATGGCAGCTGTTTTGCTGGCAGCTGTTCTGCCAAGCAATGTCTCCAGTTCCCAGCCAGAATCTTTCGCTACTAGCCGCTGCAGACCGTGTGGAGATCGCAGATCCTGCAGCAAGTGCTAGGCGTCGAGTACGGGAGGAATGACATGCCTGTGCAATGGTCCTGGCTTCGTGACCCTGTGACAAAGATACCATAGGCACCCAGGGCCTTGCAGATATCACAAGCTTCTGGTGCTGCCCCTGCCCTGCCTGGCCTGGGAAACGTGCGTGCCTCGTGCTCCCAATCAGCAGGTTTGGGGCACTGACGATAATTGGCTCCTCAAGATTCGAGCATCTCAGGATGTGCTTCGAGGTCGCTTCGCATGCTTCGAGGTCCGTTGTCCAACTCTCAAGCCGGAAGGAAACGTAGCCTCGCAGGAGATCCACCTCCCAAGCTCGAACTTACTTCGAAGTTTTTTTGTTTACTCCGTGAGATGGAGGATCCTTCCGCCTGCCTCAAGATGTGCGCGGACGCTGCCAAGATCCCAGTGAGGCGCGCCGCTCCACCAGTTATCTGAAAAGGCTCCACGCGCTCTTGCATACACATAAGTCTTGCATATACATTCGCTGTTGCTTGGGACCTGCGCGCCGGCACAGAAAGTGCTCCGAAGACGTCACCTAGTTAAACTGACCGGGTCAAAGAGTAGGACGGAGCATCGGGGCATCTTGGACTCATCTTGGCCTCGATGGGCATCGTGGCCTGGACGTCTCCAGAGGAAGTAAAGCACAGAGACCCCAGCAGCGGAGTGAAGACCTCACAAAGAGACAGAGGCAGAGGCACAGATGGGTGCAGAAGGGGCCACGAGACTTCGTGTTTCATTCCAGTCTTCAGTCTTCTTTCCCTCTCGCTCTGTGTATCTGTTAAAGGCAGGTGTGCTATCAGCCTTATCAAGGTTCTAACCCTGATCCTGACACTGGAATGGTGTGTCACCACAAGTGAGATAAACATGTAAAATACCAAACTGGTGAATACATGATGCATGTCTGCAGCTGAAGGTCTGAACCCTTTTCCGTGCCTCGGTCTGTGCTCTCTGCATGCTTGAGCCACCAGAACGGTGGAAGCGAGGGAAGCGTTCACTGCACACTCTCTACAGCTGGGCTTCAAGACCAGTTGTGCAATTCACACCCCCGCTGTGCGGTGAACTCTTCCAAGGTTCAAAAGTGGCAACCGACCGTATACTCGGTGATAACACGGCCGATCGGGAGAACGTGTTTAAAACATCGCACTCGGAGCACCGCAAACCCTGGGTCCAAAATCGCAATGCAGAGGGAGTCAAACGTCTATTGACGAATCCAACTCCTTGTTTTGAGGCGGAGAGGGTTGAAGACTTCGTAGCTCGTGCAGTTCTTTCCGTCCAGACTTAGTACAGTACGTAATTCTGATACGGGAGTCCTCAAGGACCTTGCGAACTGCGTCCACTTGTGCACCGGAAGTACTTCGTTTAGTTAGACCGTCTGCTAACATGTGAGACCCATTGACCCAGTACGTCTGAAAGTTAAAGTCTACAACGAGATCGTACAAGATCTGGTACACTAAGGACTGCATCTTAACCCCTTGTCTTGTGGAAGGCTTCTCAGTCTGAATGGAATCATAAAGACCCTTATTGTCAGTGACCAAAGCTCGAACGGTGTTCCCTTGAGTAAGCTTTTCCTTCACTTGTGTTGCTTTCAAACCGTGGAACACTTGCTCGTACAACAACAGCAGATTAACTGAGGAATCTGAAGAAATAGTGGCAGCTTGGAGTTCTGAAGCGTAACTGGACCATACGGCTCTGTCTATTTTGCAACTAGAGTAGTCTGCCAAAACAGCACTAACCTCCTTACCAGACAGAACTTCTTTGCGGGCCCAGAACGTCATAGTGCCTGATTGGGAATGTCCCGAAGGCCTAGAAGTATGACCATCGTCGGTAAACACCACTAACGTTAGATCCTCCCAGTTGTCAGCAACTTTTGCAAACGTAATGCTGTAGTCACGAGACTGTACAGTCCTCACTATCTTATTCAAGGCAACAAGATGCTGTTTCTCAGGACGGGAACCATAGGAGGCATAATGGGATACGTCGTAGGCTACATCTGGCCTGGTATTAACCGCTACCCAAAGCAAAGCTCCCAGTTGAGACCAGAACTGTGTTTGGCCTTCCCTGTCAAGAAGCCCTTCCGAAAGCTTACGTGTAGGAGTCTCCTTCAACTTGGCTACATAATGGGACTGATCGATAGTAATTTCGCGTGTCTGTGGGTGCTG